AAAAAAAATTCTCACCTTAAAAAATACAGCATCAACTGACTAGCCTCTTGTAATACAAGGGTAAACCAGTAACAAAAAGGATTAATGGTCTTATGATAAAAGTCACTGTATTCTGTGGTGCCTTGGAAAACTAGCAAGGAAATTTCCAACTAAGAAAGTTGCTGAAAGGTTAAATGATAAAGCTTGGAGGCTGAAAAGATAACTCCGGTTTAATAAGCATATGAATGACTAAATTCTGGATTTTAGCGGGTTACTGCAGAGCTCACTCAATAATTCTAATTTACACAATAGTCAAGAAGAAATACAGCTTGGGTGTAGAGGTTGATTTTAATTTGCATTTTCCTACTACTCTATTGCCCGGGAAGCTATGCACACATCAGGCTTGGGCTTTCTGCTCCAGCAATCCGGACGAGAAAAGTAAATCCGCTCCACTCACTCTTAGGTGTGCTGTTGCTTTGGCAATCTCCGAATCTGATGTGGCAACAATGAACTGATGAGTCGACTATGACATAGGCAGTCAGAAGAGGGACTAGAGCGCAGAGCTCTGGAAGGATATTATTTATTAGAGAGAATAACAAAGTACTTTATGTACATGCTATTGAACACATATTATTGGGGCTACCAACACATTCTAGTGGTGAGTTTATTCTGGATACTAAAATAGCAAACTTAAAATACTTGAGAATTCCTGCTCACAACTTCTAAGAATTAAAATTTAGTAGATTAAGATCTATTGAAAAATATTGGAAAAATACAAAATTTAGGTAGCATCAGTGACCATAAGCATTCTAAAATATCCTTTCTGGAGGAATAGTGATTCCATTAAGCACTACAGTGAAAATGCAATTTATCAATGGGAAGGGATTAAGAAACACAAACTGCCAGTTATAACAGGCATGGGGATGTACAGTGCAGCATGGAGAATATAGTCGATAATATTGTAATAATTATGTAGGGTGCCAAATGGGTACCAGATTATCAAGGTGATCACTTCATAAGTATGTAAATGTCTAATCACTATTTTCAACACCTGAAACCAACACAATATTGGACGTTAACTGTAATTAAAAAATAAGAAAATATTTTTCAGAAGAGAATACATTTTCTCCTACAAAGTGTAAGTGTAGAGTAGCAATACTACACACACACACACACATATATATGCAATATATATATATATATGTGCAAATAACAACAATATTTTGCCATCAAAAGTAAATAAGCTTTAGTTCAGCCGGTGTGGCTCAGTGGTTGAGTGTCGACCCATGTACCAAGAGGTTGCTGGTTCCGATTCCTGGTCGGGACAAATGCCCATGTTGTGGGCCCAATCCCCATTGGGGGGCATGAAGGAGGCAGCCAATCGATGTTCTCTCTCATTGATATTTCTCTCTCTCTCTCCCTCTCACTTCCTCTCTCTCTAAAATCAACAAAGAAAAAAAAAAATTTTAAAAGTGAATAAACTTTATAGATGATAACATATACATTTACCCACTTTCTTTATGCACAATATGTGTTTTTTAGAATAAAAGAACTTTAAAGCACAACCAACTCGAGATTTTTCTTTGTTAATGCACTATAGGGAGAGCAAAAACACATGAAATCGATTTATTCATTTAACAGATACTCTGAGCATGTATTATATGCTGGGCATTGTGTTAGGTGAAGCAATTATAAACAAGGAGACATGTTTTCTGCCCTTGTGATGCCCATTGTCTAATAGAAGAAACTGACAAGTAAGCTATTGCAACAAAGGATGACAAATGCTGATGGGGTAGTGCAGGGTTCTCTGACAGCACACAAGGTACCAAAACTGGGTCTAAAAGAGTCAGAAGAATTTTCCTGGAGGACATGGTGTCTACATTGAGGCATAAAGCTGTGGGCCTGTTGGTGGGGAGGGGTTAAAGAAGGTAAAAGCATGTATAAAGTTCTGAAAGTGAGAAAGCATTTTTCTCTTATGGGAACTAAAAAATGAATTCAGCATAGCTGAGTCTTGGAAAGGGAAGGTGGTAGTACTGGAGATGAAGAATGCAAAAATCAGTTCATGCAGGGCCTTGTAAAACATATTAAGGAGTGAGGACTTTAGTACAGGCAACAGGAAGCCATTGAAAAGATTTAGGCCGCTCTGGCCAGTTGGGCTCAGCGGTTGAGCATGCTTGTGGACCAGAGAGTCCCGGGCTCGGTTCCTGCTAGGGGCACATACCACAAAAATAAATAAATAAATACAATCAATCAATAAATAATAAACTCAATAAAGAAAAAAAATTAAAAAAAATTTAGGCCAAGGAGACCAAAATTATCTTTTAGAAAGATTATTCTGACTATAAAATGAAAAAAATGAAGGCAGAAACCAACTAGAATTCTGAGACAGCGATCTAGGTGAGAGGATGATGGTAGTATAAGTTAAGTAATACTGGGAATAGAGAGAAGTGGACCGATTACTGCTTTAGGAAGTAGAATAGGCAGGACTTGGCTTAGTGATTGGTTATGTATGTGGGCAAGGTAGGAGGGGATTCTGTTATTTGCTGAGATTGGAAACAGAAAGAAGAAAGAAGGATACAAAGTTTCTTTTTTTTTAAAGGATGATTTTATTATTTATTTATCCTTACCTGAGGATATTTTTTCCATTTATCTTTAGATAGAGTGGAAGGGAGGGAAGAGGGGAGAGAGAGAGAGAAACACTGAGGTGAGAGAGACACATTGATTAGTTGCCTCCCGCACGACCCCGACCAGGTCTGGGAGGAACCGCAACCGAGCTACATGCCCTTGCCCAAAATCAAACCCGTGACTCTTTGGTCCATAGGCAGATGCTCTAACCGCTGAGTCAAACCAGCCAGGGCCTAAGTTCCTTTTTTGAACATACTGAATTTGAGCTATAAGGGATAAGTAAGTACAAATGTTGGGCAAGCAATTGAATGTTCAGATCTGATATTCTGTGCAGTGCTCTGAATGGGAGATGCAGACGGGAGAGTTGTTAGTATGAAATGGTCACTAAAGCCACAGGAGTGGTGACATTGTCCAAGGCAATGTATAACGTGATGAGAGAACAGGCTGTTGGAAGAAACCCTAAGAAACACCAAAATTAAAGAGAGAAATAGCCTGGCCGGTGTGGCTCAGTGGTTGTCAACTCATGCAGCAAGAGGTCGCCAGTTCGATTCCTGGTCAGGGCACATGCCCAGGTTGTGAGCCCAATACCCAGTGGGGGGCATGCAGAAGGAGGCCAATTTATGTTCTCTCTCATCGATGTTTCTCTCTCTTTCCCTCTCCCTTCCCCTCTCTCTAAAATCAATAAATTAAAAAAAAAAAGAGAGAGAGAAATAGGAGCTCTAAGTCCAGCAATAATTCTGAAGCAATAATTTGTGCATTTGTTTATATTCTCCTTGGCCAAGTCTATTACTAAAAGTACTAACAGGTTATCTTCTTTTACTTTGCAAAGCCATAACTTGGCAATGAAAACATTTAAAATAACCTGAAATCAACAAACATTTAAATAACAACTGTTAAGATATAATCTACAAGCCAAACAAACAGCCCTTGGCTGTTCATACCTAGCTTTGGCTATGCTAAGCTTTCCACTTTACAGCAAATCTTTACTCATGCTATAATTTGCCCCCCATTGGTTCTGTAATGGTTTATTTCCTGATTGTCTAGATTTTCTTTAATGGATTTGCAGCTAGCTCGGTGACAGTCCAAAGAGATTTTTTTCTGATCAAAACATGTGACTAACAGAGATCTGTCAGGAGATGACATGATCTATGATTCCCACATGGAGAAGATCCAAATATAGTTTTGGATGGGTCCCTGAGGATTTGTCTCAAAATACTTCCTCTTTCATATCTGCAGGAGGAGAGATGGGAATGTAGCCTCTAGAGTGGCTAATCATTGGTGTGTGGATGTATGTTTAACAATTGGCTTGCCAGGGAAAAGAGCCCTGATTTGTTGTGTTTGCCAATTTTTATTTTTTAGAGAGAGAGAGAGAGAGAGAGAGATTGATGTGAGAGAGATACATCGACTGGTTGCCTCCCACACGACCCTGACCAGGGCCAGGAACCGAACTGCAATCAAGGTAGGTGCCCTGAATGGGAATTGAACCCATGACACTGCTCCGTGGGCTGATGCTCTAACAGCTGAGCCAAATCGGCAAGGGCTGTGTTTACCAATTTTTTATAGTGTAAATATCGCCACCACTCCTGAGACCTGCAAGCTACCAACTTGATGTCACTGAAGGCAGAGTAGGAAAAAATGTACACAGTTGGCTTTTGCAAGCTAGCTCCAACATACTACTGGACCAAGAATGATCTGACTGGTAACCAGCAATGAGAAACTACCTTGTATGCAACAGCTTAAGATATGAGAGGAATAAATTCTACAAATACTGAGTTTTTACTCTGAAAATGAATTTATTCACCTATATTCAGTTTATGTGTAGATCTTAACCATTTGCCTTCAAATTGAAGCCTGGTGGTATGAGTAATTTATCATTAATCTAATAATTTAGCATTTGTTAACATATCTTTTTTATAAGTGATACGTTTCTAAAATTGGTTTGTATCTGAAATGATTGAGAATCATTTTCAATCTCATTCGTTATACCATGAACCAAAGAAATGACTATTTTCTTTTCATTTCAGGATATGAGTATACTTTGCATTCTAATATAGTTCATAAAAGAAAATATTTTATTTCCATCAAATAAGCAAAATTTGTTTTTTCCCCCATCAAAGCCAACAATTTGATGGTATACTACTCTAACCAATAATATATGCAGAAAGAATAGCAACAACATACCTCATTTCTTTCCAGAATTTAATATATACACTATTGACACACTATAGAAACATAATATTGTTAGTACACTAAATAATTACTATTAAAACTTACTTTAAAAATATTTTCAACATTAGGCACTGGTGGAACCAGAGCTGCTATTATGCATACTATGTCTTTTTCACATTCCAAAGGGTAATTAAAATTCCTGGTAGCACAGAAAAGGATGCATTTGTTAATATTTAATGCAGACATAAAAAACCTCATGGCTTCTATTAAAAACTTCACAATTCTTCTGACACAAATGAAGACACCTTTTCAAATAACTTACACTTGATACCGAGTTTATAAAGGTGACCATAAAAATACTGCAAGCCCAATATAAAAACACAATGAGATAGTACAAAGTCTTTTTTTTTTTTTTTTTTAATGGCAAACTTTAAAAGGTCTGCATTTATACAAATGCACAATACATTTTAGTGCCCTATGAGTTGTATTTTTGTTCAGGATTATCTGATTTTAGAAATCTAATTTGAACATTTTTCATTAATTTTCTGCTTCAGAATGGAAGACATTGAGAACCTAAATACATTTTAAAAACAGGATTGGGTAAAAGTTTCACAAAGTGGAATAGTAAACACTTTACATGCTTTAGTTATTGCTTTGCCAATGATAAAAATGTCCAATGTCCTATTTTCCTCTTACTTAACTTAAATTTTTAGATAATTATCTTAACTACCTCTTTTGTATATATAGAAACTCTTTTGAGCTAAAGTTCTAAAAATTTTAGGTTCAAAAATCCAAAATATTACTAAACCACTTTCTATTTTCAAAGGGTATTTAAAGAAATTTGTATATCAATATAAAACCCCAAAGTGGTGAATGAAGACACTTTAATAACTTTGCTTTAGCCTTAGAAGAATACTATTATAATTGGCTGTTGAGTTCCAAATTTAAGCATTTGGTTTTTATTCTGTAATACTGTATTTTCTAATACATATATCAAAGAAATGAGCTGATCCCATCCAACACCCCACCCCTGCTGCAAAGAATAGTTAAGTATTTCAGCTCTAGTACAAATAAAATTTTTTTGGGAAAAAAAAAATTATGTCAAGGTAAATTGATTTTTAAAGACTTAGAATAATTGCTATGAAAGAACTATAAAATATAAAAATTTGAAAAAAACAACAACACTGAAAATTTCTAAGAAAAAAATATGCAACTTGTTAGATACAAGAAAATATAGCATTATCATGGGCTAAAACCAACTATGAATCCGACTTATGGGACTTTAAAATTTCACAAAAAGTGATTAGCACCAAAATTATCTAAAACTTCAAATGATATACTGAAGTGATTCCCAAGTGTTTCATCATAAAAATGTCATATTTAACTTGGAAAGTTTCCCAAGCAATAATAAATACATTAGTTTCAATTTTTAGAAGATGTGCTAGCTTTACTGATTTTCATCAAAATATTAAGGTAGTGTAAAATGTTTTACTGGAGCTGTTTATTAGACCTATATTGCCCAATTTGAACTCCATATCCTGTTATTTTCCCTGCTCACTTGGTGCTAGGAATAGGGGTATTTAAAAATGGGCACAGATTATAGTATTAAAACATGAGTTTTGAATAAGCTACAAGATGTATATTGAACCCTGTTATAATCAAGAATTGAATATTATTTTAAACAACATCCATTTGTAATTATATTATGAAACAGTACACAATTTGAAACAAGGCAAACTTTTTGGCTTTCATGTAGTGAAATATATAACTTCACTAATTACATATATATGGCTATCAAATGTCAACCAACAGCTCATTCGGCCATATTTTAATGCTGTGCATAAATAATAACAAGGCAAAGAACAGCAACCAGTCCAAGGGCTTGTAGGCCAAGGAACCACAGCATAACCCAAAAGAAAATGACGATCACTGGTTCCACAATTTGTTCTCCAAAGTACATCCTCCTGCAGCCCATGTTGATGAGGTTTTTGTTCAGCTCACCAAAAAGTGTTCCCATCTTTTTGTAGTCATCTCTAACAGGATCATCAGTGCGGTTCTGTGATTCTTCACAAGCCTTTAAAGACAAACAGGAAAAAAAACAAAACATAAACATAAAATGAGAAATAATGAAGGTCTTTAAGAATAAACACTATAGCCCTAGCTGGTTTGGCTCAGCAGTTGGAGCGTTGGGCTGCGGACCAGAGAGTCTTGGGTTCGGTTCCCGCTAGGGGCATGCGCCAAAAAAAAGCATAAAGACTATCTCAGTCTGGCCAGTGTCGCTCAATGGTTGAGCGTTGACGCATGCACCAAGAGGTCGCCAGTTCGATTCCTGGTCAGGACACAGGTTGTGGGCTCAGTCCCCAGTAGGGGCATGCGGGAGGCAGCCAGTAGATATTTTCTCTCATCGATGTTTTTATCTCTCTCTCCGTCTCCCTTCCTCTCTCTCTAAAATAAATAAATAATAATAAAAAAAAAGAATAAAGACTATCTCATAATTCTGCTTTACCTTCCAAAGTACTGGACATACTTCTGATAATCATTCAATAAATACTTGGGGATGTTCCTTTTGATTGACATATAGAACAACTGTGTTTGTGCCCACCTTTCAAGAATAAGGAGAGCAACAGTTTATTTTCTGTGGAAATCAGCATTGACTGGACCCTCAACTACCGGAACACTGATTTACAAGATGAAGGAAGGAGTTGATTAATTTCTATTCATTTTCCAGTTTCCTGGAATTACACAAAGTCAGCTAGCTGCTTACAAGAACCAGGTCTGTATTGCTCTTATCAGTGGCAATGATTTCAGAACATCCTTTTCCCACCAATCTCTTTTTGAGGCAGGGCCCTGGATTTGTAAGTTAGCTACTTTTTAGTGCATTCCTTTGACACTAAGACTTTAAGGAACCTAGACTCAGCTGACTGAAACATGTCTTGGTGCTACTATTGAGCAATCCTGTTATGACTGCTATGATCTTTCAGCCTTGGCCTTAGCTAAGGAGACTTCAGTGTAGATAGACACTTGCATAGTTTTCTGCCTAAATTCTGCAAATGTCTAAAATGCTTCTTATAGAAACAATCATCAAAATGGAAAGGCAACCCACTGTATGGGAGAACATCATTGCCAATGATGTATCAGATAAGGGGTTAATTTCCAGTATATACAGAGTGCTCATACAACTCCACAAAAGGAAGACAAAGAACCCAATTAAAAAATGGGCAGAGGAGCTGAATAGACACCTCTCCAAACAGGACATACAAATGGCTAAGAGACATATGAAGAAATGCTCAACATCACTAATCATCAGAGAGATGCAAATTAAAACAACTATGAGGTATCACCTCACACCTGTCAGAATGGCCGCCATCAACAAATCATCAAACAACAAGTGTTGGCGAGGGTGTGGAGAAAAGGGGACTCTAATACACTGCTGGTGGGAATGCAGACTGGTGCAGCCGCTATGGAAAACAATATGGTGCTACCTCAAAAAATTAAAAATTGAACTTCCATTCGACCCAGTGATCCCACTGCTGGGAATATACCCTAAGAAGCCTGAAACACCAATCAGGAAGAATATATGTGCCCCCATGTTCATAGCAGCACTATTTACAATAGCTAAGATCTGGAAACAGCCCAAGTGTCCACCAGTAGACGAATGGATCAAAAAGCTGTGGTACATATACACAATGGAATACTATGCAGCGGTAAGAAAGAAAGATCTCTTATCCTTTGAGACGACATGGAGGGACCTGGAGAGTATTATCCTAAGTGAAAGAAGCCAAGCAGAAAAAGACAAATACCACATGATCTCACTTATATACGGAATATAATGAACATAACAGTCTGAGGAATACAGTAGACCCAGACACATGGAAGTAGGGCACAGACTGACATCCCTCAGAAGAGGGGATGGGGGGTGGGGGGGTGGGAAGAGATAAACCACAGAACTTATATGCATGTATGCATGACCAATGGACATGGACAACTAAGCCGGGGACAGGGTGGAGGGTGCCAATGGGGTAAAAAGGTAAAATATCTGTAACAAAAAAAAAAATAAATAAATAAAATTAAAAAAAAAAAATAAAATGCTTCTTATAAATATCATTAAGAGAAATACAAATAGAAATTATTTTGTACAATAAGCCCAAAAGTTCACCTAGAAGTCAGTTCCCCAGAAAATGTCTCAAATCCTTTCAGTCACCTCTTGATAACTGTTCATCCAATTCCTCATATTTATTTTTCCAAATCTTTGCCACTCTTCTATATTCTCCCTTCTAGAGGTGTTGCTAGTGCCTTTTAAGGTGAACAGTGATAATCCCAAATGTTCCCTGCATATCAATGGAGGAAGGGACTGGACAGAGGCAGTTTAGATGCATACCCAGTAAGGTCTGGGTGACAAGGGAAGATACTTAACTGTCAATCACACCTGGAAACAGATAATTGGCCAGAATAGGAGTGGCCACTGCACGTGTGCAAAATATGAAATACTTAACACCTTAACAAAGAAAGTTCTCTCTCTTACTCCCTTGCTCTCTTGACACTCTTGTTCTCTTGTGACTCCTGTTGCAGGGGGCGTGCTCCCCTGAATTCGCCCACATGGCTCATGGCCATGTGGGACCCAATAATGGACTGATGAACTGAATCTAGTCTGATGCTTTGCCAGACTCAATTCCACCATGGAATGGAAACTCTGGATACTGGTTTTGCTTCTAGCTCTGCTGAAACCCCAGCTGCATGTCTTCCAGGACTGGACTAAAGGAAATAGGACTTTGTAAACTGAGGAATGTAACTCCATGAAAATAAAGCCTTTTACCACATCTCATCCTCCTGTGGGGGCCTCTGGAAATGCTTATTCCAGTGGTTCCCCAAGAACCCCACTCCTACTAGCGGTGGAGAAAACCAATTTTCCAGTAACAGTCCTACAGGAATCAATAGCTCAATGGCAACTAAAACCACGAGTTTCACCCTGGCTGGTTTGGCTCAGTGGTTGGAGTAGTGGCCCCGAGGACCAAAGAGTCTCAGGTTCGATTCTAGTCAAGGGCACGTACCTTGGCTGTGGTTCAGTTCCCGGCCTGGTCGGGTCATGTGGGAGGCAACCAATCGATGTCTCTCTCTCTCTCCCTCCCTCCCTTCCACTCTATCTGAAGATAAATGGATAGCTAAATCCATTTATGGAAGATAAATGAAGATATCCTCAGGTGAGGATTAAAATAAATAAATAAATAAAAGTAAAACCACTAGTTTCTTTGCTATTGATTCTGACAGTAGAATATGTTCCTGTTATACACAAAGTCCTCTCTCTTCAAAACTAACTTTTGTCATGATAGTTTTTCCTGGGAAACCATATTGCTTCAGTAAAGACATCAACTGAATTTTTACCAAGTGTCATCATTTTGGATAGAAGTTTTTACAGGCTCTGTACTACCTCAGAGATGCCAAATTAACTGTCTGAAGCATTTGCCATATAACATGATCTCTACGTTCATGGAGATTATGGTTTAGTGTGAGCCTGTGAAGGGGTGAATGAGAATTGGCAGAGAATACATACGTGAACAAATAAATACATAAGATAATTTCAAATAGTACAAGAGCTATAAGGAAAATAAAACAGTAGTGGAAGAGAGGTAGATGGGGTGGATTGGAGGTTTTTTTTCATAGAGTAGGCAGAGCTGGGATCTTGGAAAGCTAACAGTTAAGTTGATGATCTGACCCTCTGCATAGGGGAAAATATGGGGAAGGAGTCCTGAGATAGAACTGAGTTGGCTTGCCTGATGCAGTGATTGTGACTGTGATCCACAATAAAATATATTTATTTCTTGACCAAGTACATATAAACTAAAGTTCCATGAAATGACACTCATGCCACCCGTGATACATTTTAACAATTCCTATCCTATCCTATCCTATCCTATCCTATCCTATCCACAATCTATTAAATTGATTTCATGGCCCAACAATAGCTTGGTGGTTAAGAACTCAGTCTTTAAGCATGGATTTAAATCTCAACTCCACAATTTGTTTGCTGTGATACTTTTAGTATGTTACTTAACTTCCCTGTGCTGTTGTTTTTACATCTTTAAAGTGGGGGCACTAATAATATCTACTCATGAGGTTTGATACCAGATTTCCTTTCAGAAAGTCTAAACCAATTTATACTACTAACTTCAGTTTATTCTTATTTCATATACGGTTTCTCTAAATCCACACTATTCATCATTTTAATCTTTAACAACTTGATAGGTGAAAAATCATTCCTAACAGTGTTAAGTTGCATTTCTTTTATTTCTAGTGAGGCTGACATGTTTTCCTGCTTCTTGGGTACTAAATATAGTTACAGTTTTATTTCCAACACAATATACAAATATAATATGTTAAATAAAAAATGTATAACTATATAAATCTTCACCTAACCACAGCATTATATATCATTTATAACATGTTTATTATTATATTTATAACTAAATGCGAAGTTATAGCATCCATTTACACTTATTTCCCACTGAATACAGAAGAAAAATACAACCCAGCTTTTTGAAGAGATAGATAAAAATCAATAAGCACATTAGTTTCTTTTTTTTTTTTTTTTTTAGAGAGAGAGAGAGACACCGATGTGAGAGAGACATATTGATTGGTTGCCTCTCACATGACCCAACCAGGGCTGGGGACTGAACCTGCAACCCAGGTACGTGCCCTTGACTGGGAATCGAACCCACGACCCTTTGGTCCGAGGGCCCATACTCTAACCGCTGAGCCAAACCAGCCAGGGCTATCAGCTAATTCTTTAATTAATCTTTGAAATTAGTATAAACTAAAAAGTACTAAAATTTGTTTTCATTTTCATTTTCACCAATAGGATTCAATAGTTTAAATCATACTTGCATATATAGACAAGTGAAACAACCAAGTATTCAAAAAGATATCTACAATTTCAGCCATATCTATTAAACATATTAAGAGTCGCCTACTGCAGTGGAAGAGAATGGTTATGTAGTGAAAATATAAATTAATTAAATTAAATAAGAGAAATACTGTGTATGAGCTAGTTATATATAGAAATACTGTGTATGAGCTAGT